TATACACACATAAATATCTATATCGTCAATTTTTTTGTTGGTTTTTTTATTATTTTTTTGCACTGCGTGTATTCCGCTTATGCGCGGTTGTCCATGCCTCTCCTCCTCTGCTGCCGATGCGCTGAAGCCCCGGCCTGCACTCCTCATCCCAAAGGCTTTACGCTCCTGCCCATTCTCCTATTCACGCTGTCAGACTCCTCCTGGCAGCGGCGGCCGTCTCAGGGAGCGCAGAGGAAGAGGAGCCGGCCGGCCAGACAGCGGCCTGGGCCCATCAGGACAGAATGAGAGCCTGTGTGTGTGTGTGTGTGTGTGTGGGTGGGTGGGTATCAGAGCGTTGCATGTGTGACAGTTTTTATGTGCCCCACAAAGCTGTGTGCTGACTGAGGGGAAATGTGGGGTTTTGTGGCCAGACGGCTCCTTGCAAGGGAAAGAATAGGGTTTAGAGTACCGCTCTGTGTGTGTGTGTGTGTGTGTTTGTGTGTGTGTGTGTTTGTGTGTTACAGTCCTGAGCGCAGTGGGGAAAGTGCTTGGAGTTCTGCAGTTCTGGCTTTTGTCTCTTTTTGTCTCTCATTTTTGTAGTTGCTGCATGTTGGAGTCTATTTAAATTGGGCCGTATTTGACTTTATTGAAACTTCAAGAAAAGTCGTCCTCAGGAGAGCACAGAATGAGGAGGGGAGGGGGGCGGGGAGGTTAGAGCGGTGGGGCGGGGCGGGGGGGCTGTCTGGAGGCCGAGCCTGTCTTTCCCCACCCTGCTCCCATCACAAGAGCTCGTACTGCCGCAGGTGCATCCGCTGGATGATGTCCCGGCAGTCGTTGAAGACGCGGCGGATGTTCTCCGTGTCGACAGCGCAGGTGAAATGCGGGTAGCAGTAGTGCCTCCCATCCCCACTGGCTGTGCTGATCCTCTGTGAAGCGAGTGGTGAGAAACACCGTTATGTGTCCGTCTCAAGTGCAGCAATCAGGGTCCTAGGAGCAGGGCAGACTGGGATGTCCCAGCGTGCTGGGGGTGTTTTAACAAGGAGGCTTGTTATGCTACGAACGAAGGCATGTCACTCACCAGGAACTCGTCTCGGATGAAATACTTTGCCCTGGTAACTCGTGGATCCTCCCCTGGTTCGGGTGATGCTGGGGATGGGAGAGGAATTTTTTATTGTTTTTTTAATTGTGGTTGCTGCCTGTGACTCCCACCCCAAACACTTGCAGCAAGTCAAAACAGCACTCACCATCGTCTGGGGTTATGTATCGCGCAAACTCTGGGAAATAATCCTCGATTTTCGATTTGGCTGCCAAAACCTTCTCGGCCAGTAGGTCCTGCTTGTTGAGGAAGAGGATGACAGAAATGGTCCGTAGCCACCTGGGGAGAGGAAGAAAAATGGCCGCTTATAGGTAAGATACCAAAATTAACACTAAGGTGACACCAAAGTCACTGAAACCGTTGCCATAGCCGGATGTGACACAGAACGGATCCGATTAAGTACCTTGGCTCAAGGCCAGAACACCAGGGTCCATCTGGGACTTGAACCAATATCCTTGAGGTTAAGAGTCCATGCCTTTAAACTCTACTGGCCTATCAGCTGCTAATTTTGAACTCTTTGTTTGTCATATGACTCAGAATATGTGAAATTATAGAATCCATTCAAATTGCTCTCTTGGCTATAGTTTGTAATGTCACTCTCTCTAACTATGGATGAGGGGGCTGGCTGGGGCAACCGTGCAATGCATTTATTCAGAAACACACAAGGCAATAAACAGTACATACATTTTCATCAGTATCAATTCGTACAACCAGGTATTCTGGCTCAGTTAATTTATGGCTTTTTCTTGCCTAACCGCTTCTTCTAATCTAATCTACTGGCCATACCTGTTGTTCCAGATGTTTTTGAACAAGTTGAGAGCCTCCTGAAGGCGGTTGGTCTGATTGTCTTCCCGGATGACCATGTTATAGCTGCTGCTGGCCACCACAAAAATAATGGCTGTGACATCTGTGAGGACAGAGCGGGGAGGGGTGGGGGGGGAAGAGTCCAGCCTTGCTCAACCAGCCACTCGGAACGCCATGTAAATCACAGAGAATTCAAAGGCGCCTTTTCCAAACTCCAAGGAGCATCAGATGGGGCGAGTCCTCCTCACCATTAAAACACTGGATCCACTTTCTCCGCTCATCCCTCTGGCCCCCCACGTCAAACATGCTGTGAGGAAAGATGAGAAAGAGGACAACAAACATTTGCATCCATCTCCTTCCTCACAGCTCGATTCCCAATAACCGGAAGATCACATGTAGTGTATCTGCTACGTGATGGATCCAGGAATAAAATGTTCCATCTTCCCAACTTACTGGAAATTGACTTTGTCCACCTGAAATCTTGTCTCAAAAATCCCCGAAGTCAGAACTCGGCATCTCAGCAGGTCCTGAGGGGGAATGAGTGTTTGTGTTCCGTTAATAATCCCACAGATGCACCCCCAAAACCAATCAAAACATTTTATATATATTAAGCGCTATTACATTGGGGGGGCATACAAGCACTATGGCAAATTTTTAAAACTACAGGAGTTGGGTGGCAAGTTGGGTCATTTCAAACCACCAGAGGTGGGATTCATACCTACAACCTACCTGTGTGTGGAGATCGCTGCTGGAAGGTGAATGACTATCTTGACCATTGGGGCAGTTTTATTAATAAATGCTGGCTAGATAGCTAAGGATCACAGCTATGTCACCTACCCCGCATTTATGAATAAGACTGCTCCTCGTCAAATATTTAACTGCTCCGGATCAGCATAAGAGTGATTTACATGAAAAAAAAAGCTGGGCTTTTCGGAAAGCACAATGTGCCATTACCTTCCACGAGACCCACCTCTGTTGTTGAATGTGGCAAATCACTAAAGTGCTCATTTAAGACAAGTGCCAAACAGGACACTGACCTGATCAGAGGGAGTGTAGTCGGACTGCTTCACAATGTCAATCTTGTCTAAAAAGCTGAAAGGAGAAGAGAGAGAGAGACAGTTGAATTTAAGGACGTGGGTCAGTTAGTGGGGATACAAGTTTTTCCACTTGTAGTTTCACAACTGGTCAGCAGAGGGGGCAGTTTTCTCCTCAGCAGTGCAAGGATACTAGAAGGCAGTGAGTCACCATTAGCTGCTCCAGTCAAACACTGTAGGCAGTGGAGCTCCTGTGGTAGGAGGGATTCGGGGAGGGGGGAGGGGGGTACCCTGTTAGGCCTCTGAAATTAAATCAGCCCGAGATGTGGACACAGGCACCGGATAACAGCAGTACGCCAACCACAAGTCTTACTATACAGTACGGAGTAATAATAAGAGTATAGGTAACATTGATCATACAGCTTTATGTGTTTTTTCTTTGAACTGACACACTAAGCTGTACCCTCATGATGATTACTGTATGGTGACCTGCAGCTTCTTACAGGTAACTAACTAACCGTTTCCCCATTCAAAGTTTGGAGAGCTCAGTTGCAGCAGTAGGTCCTTGATCAGGGAGACCCTCCATTTTGATTCCAGAGAGTTTGCATGTAACCTCCCTTCACCTCACCTGTAGGTCTACTGTCCCCATATTTGTTTTACAAGAGACACATCACTGTTTACCACCACCGATCCTCGTCACGTGGGGGGATTAAGGCTACCTGAAAAGCTCACATCCTATAATTCCATCATCTGCGGAGTTCACCGGCACTCACGCTGGGTGTCCCATCACCGGTGGAGCCGCGGACAAAAATCTCCATGTCAGCCCAGGTGTGATTATTGGGTGGGGGAGGCAGGGCCAGGCTGGGCCGGGGGATAGATAGCACAGGCCCGGATTAGCCAGCCTGCTACAGGAAGGACCCCGAAAGCGGCACGGGCAGCCAGACGGACGGCCGCTCCAGCGCAGCGTGCAGCTGCGGGGAGCAGGTGAAGAGGGCCTGAGGTATGTGACCCCTCTGAGATAACAAGGAATGTGGCGCAGAAGGCCGGAATGTGACGGGAAAGCAGCAGCTGCAGCGGTGGGGGAGGGGCAACGGGCGACGGGCGCGTCACGGGACACGAGCACCCAGCCCACTCCGAAAGGCATGCCCGCTGCTAAAATCCAACTACGCCGTCTCAATTATAGACGTTCCCTCTATTAATAGGCCCATTCCAATAACAGCTCACCCCGGTGGTCAAATTAAAACAGCAGAGATCTCTCTCATAGCCAGGAGGACATTTGCTGACTGGGCCTAGTCTGCAGAGCGCGCGCAGATGTTACCAACCGGGGTCTCCGTCCTAGAAGACCCATTTCACCGGCTGAATGCAGGAAGAGCTAGTCACCATGCAGAAGCTCTTATAGACGTCAAGGGGATGTGGACCTACTGGTTCTTTCTGGTGAAGGGGCAATGTCAGTGTACAGTCTGCAGAAGTTTCTTTTTATGTGGTGAAATCATGCAAAAGTCACCATATTCACCACGTCACACGACAGCCAGAATCCACCCCAACCTGTCGATGCACTGAATTAGTCAGTTACATATCAAAAGCACCTGACTGGCTGCTAGACCAATCAATGTTGACCAGCGACTGTCGGATTCACCATTACGCAAAAGCCTCATTAAGAAACAGAGGCACTGTGTGCAAAAGCCTTCACAGAAACTGCCCTGTGTCTCTCCACAGTGACTATCCGACCTCTGACCCAGTGCCTTCATTAACAGACATTATGTCTGCTATACCTGCTACAGCACTTACTTTGACCCAAAACACAGTTTAACCTAGGGCTTATATTTTATTTCTCCAAAGATTAAACAGTACGCTAATCCATGTCTCGCAGTGGGACAGACATCACAGGGCAGATGAAAAAGTCTGCGACTGCAGTTCTGTATTGAACCACCAGAGGGGCCAGTCTGTCCCACAAGCCTTCATTCCAAACGCAGCATAAAGCGGGCCTGTCTAGCTGGACTCTCTAAAGTAATTTCTTGCTACACAAAGTACATCACATGAAAAATTGTTTGCCACTGTCACCATGGATCACAAAAAAGTATACAAGGTTCAAAGTTGCTACTTGAAACTGGCTTGTGAAACTGATCTTCAAACTGCACACACTAAGAAGTATTTAGATATTTACTAAACCATGTGCAGTTAATGCTAAAGAACAGGCAGATGATTACTTGATAATTGCCTGAATTCAGATGTTCTGAAGAAAGGCCAGAATATGAGCAATGGAGACCCATCCAACAAGAGCAAAAAAAAAAAAGACTTTCTCTACTTCTAAACAGAGAAACGAAAGGTTCTTTTAACATTTAACAGGAGTGTAGTGCAAATTAACATAAAATAACATATCTAACAAATCATAATTACAGGAACATTCTGGGTCCCCATGAATTCAAACGAAAATGCATACACCTTGAATGTCAATTTAAGTTTTAGGAAAATGTATTTTGCATTTCCTGTTTAACCTTGAAAACGGACATCAATAAATTCAGTTGTGAAACTGGAAGTTTTAAGTGCAAGATTATTATATTGATAGGTTAAACCAGCAAAGCACTTCATGTTCTCAACCTCGCAGACAGGTCAGATGGTGGCGCTATAGCACAAACATAAATGATGCCACAACTCGGCCTGACAAAGTTCACAAGCAGCTCTATTCACCAGCTTCTGATCCCCAAGGCCACGCCTCTTTCCCCACATAGATTATTCCACCATTTTGAACCTTTACTGAAACTTTTAACACGTGACCTGCTAGTTCATTGGCCCAATCAACACTTGACTAGATACACGTACCAAGTTGAATAAAACTAGCTGAGGGTTCAAACACAACTGTTTCCAGATGCCAATCAAGTACAGAAGGCGTGGCCTTTTGTATTTTACACCTTTATATCTTGCTGGTAGAACAACAACGCAGAGAAATGCAGAACCTGCCTACAACTCTAGAGCAATCAGATTAAATCAGGCAGAAACTTGCCACCACAGTCAATAGTGTCTATTTTCATACCACACACCTGAAATAAGTGAGAAGCTGCTGCTAATTCCACTCCTGTAATCAGCCCTGTAATCATCACTTCATTCTCATCTTATCGTTGCATTTTCTCGACTCATTTTCCTTATTTTATTTTCGAGCAATGAGTCATTAATATAAATCATTTAGGCCCCCCCCCCCCCATGACCGTGTCCAGTCCACAGAGCTCTGCAGCCCTTATGTGCTGCCCAATACCTGCTTCTTACAGCAACTGAACTTATATCACCTGATCGAACCTCGTGCCACTGTCCCCGATACTGATAAACCCTGTTCCCCATCTCACTCCATTTCTGCATTCTGGACACAATTACAAGTTCACTGGTGGGAAAGAGGGAGGAGAAAGAAAGAAAAAGGAAAAAAACGGAAACGCCAGTACACCCATTTGCCGCAATAATGCTAAATAAAGGTCACGACAAGTTCAGAGATTTCTCTGGACTGCAGTGAAACTGGGCCATTCAACATTAACCCCAGAGGTAGCAGGTGAAAGCAGGCCACAAGTTCTGAGATGGTACAGAGCCACACCTGAACAGAGCACTGCTCACCGGACGACAGGCCACAGAGGGCTGCCCTGGTGACCAGGAAGGCATCTTCAGATTCCCATCCCGTGGCCTCCTGAAGGAGTCAGCCTGTGCCAAATCCTCCAGGGCGGCCAAGTCGCCCAGACAGCGGAGTAAGGAGTGTGAGAGAACAGCCCCAAAAGAACAAGGACAGCCGGCCTGCCATCTGTCTCTGTGGCAGCACATTAGAGCCGCAGAGCTGATAATGGTCTCACTATGCATTCATCTGGTTAAGGTGAAAGTATTAGGGATCTGGATTATGGGGCCTGGGGGTAGAATCGAGAGGGTATGGGGGCTGACCCAGGCCCAACAAGGGGAAAAAGAATAGGAACAGGTGACAGTGAACAAGGCCTTAATCAGGAAAGGTCAGTTCTGGCATGTTGATTTAGGGATGATTTGCCCATATTTAGCCACATTAAAAGCGCCTGGCCAGTTAGTTGTATTTCAGACTCTCCTCTGGGGATTCCCCACCCTGACCCAAGAAATGAGATTCTCCTGTGCTGCCTCTCTTCTGCTCAGTGCCCTTATAGTACTGTCCAAAGGTCTTGGGCAGTCAAAGAAAATGTTTAAATGATTTTCATGCTGGTGTAAAACTATGATCTCTGTCAAAGTCTGTCAGCTTAGCCATTTCAAAACCTCTCCTAAAGTCACCCCAGTACTTGCTGCAACCGTCCAATACACCCATGCATTGTTCAACTGGACCACTACCCTCTCTCTCTGAGCTAATCAACAGCTCATTGACTTTTAAACTAATTAAATTAAGTGAGCTAGTTGTGAAATGTAACAAATGCATGGAATGGCTGGTTTAAAAAAGTTTAGTAACTGAAGCAGTGTTCTTCTAGACATCTCAAGTTATTAGTAACTGTGTTACGTTAATTTTAATTGGCATACAGTTAAATTGTGTTTGTTCTGAGCAAATATACGCTTACTACCCCGATAAGCTTTAAACATTAGATTGCCTCAGACTTTTGCAGAGTGCTGTAGGTTCGTCGAGGCCTTTGAATGCGACTCCAAATTATGACCGCGTCTCAAAAACAACCCACCGAGCTCACTGCGGGGATGGAGACGTCATCCTGGGTCAGGCCGGCCACCCAAATTCAAATTAAAATCAAATCAGATCTGGCTTGTATGATGAAGGCTATGGTAGCGTAACAGAGGGCAAGAACAGGAAGTGGGTTCACAGTCGGAAGTCCCGCCTCCATGGGCACACCACACCCCCTGCTTCCTAATGACTGTGAGGAACAAACTGCGGCTTTTCCTTCTCTTAATAAACAAAGTCTGACATTAGCTAAGATGTCTTCCAACACTGGGTACAATCACAGGGCAACATGTGATCAATCAGAGGGAACTGAAGAAGTTCAGCAAGAAATATGCTACCCCCCCCCCCTCCACAAAAAGGAATATGTTTATTTTTGGTGAATCCATTACAGCCCAATGCTTAGCGAC